CTGCATCTCTGCACCTCTGCTTCTATGCCTCTCTCTGCCACGCTCCCCAGCCCTCTGCCTCTATGAACCTCTCTCTGCCAATCTATCTGCCTTTCTCTGCCTATCTCTGCCTCTGCCACTCTGCCTCTCACAGCCTCTCTCTATGCCTCTCAGGGCCTGTCTCTCTGCTTCCCTCTCTTCCCCTCTGTCTCCTCTAACTCTCACAGCCACTTTCTGTAAATCTCAGGGCTTCTCTCTCTGCCTCCCTGTCTGTTTCTCTGCCTATCTCGGCTTCTGCCCCTCTCTCACTCTCATGGCCTCTCTCTACCCCTCTCTGTGTGCCTCTCTCCACCTCTCTCTACCTGCCTCTAAGTCTTTCTGCATCTCTCTGCCACTCTTCCACACTCTGACTCTCCGTCTACCTCTCTGCCCTCTCTCTGCATCTCTGCCTTTCTCTCACCCACTCTCTCTGCCTTTCTTCCTCTCTCTCAGCCTCAGTCTCTGCCTGCCTCTCTACCTCTCTGCACCTCTGCCTCTCTGCCTCTCTCTCTCTCTGTGTGTCTCTCTGCTTCTCTGTCTCTCAACACCTCTCTCTCTTCTTTACTCTCTGCCTCTCTGTATGTCTCCCTCTGCCTCCCATAGCCTCTCTCTCTACCTCTCTCTGTACCTCTCTCTGACTCTCTCTATGATTCTGGCTCTGCGTCTGTCTGCCTGCCTCTCTGGCTCTCTGGGCCTCTGCCTCTATGCCTCCCTCTGCCAAAATCTGCCTCCCTCTACCTGTCTCTCTGCCTCTCTGTCCGTCTCTCTGCCTCTCTCTTCCTCTTGGCCAATCTCTCTGCGTCTGCCTCTCTGTGGCTCTGCCTCTCTCTCACTGCCTCTATCTCTCCCACTCAGGGCCCGTGTCTCTGCTCTACACTCCTCCTCGCTCACCCTCTCCCTACCTCTCTACCTCTCTTTCCACCTGATTGCCTCCCTCCTTCCTCTCCCTCTATCTCTGACTCTGTACCTTTCGTTTCCTCTCTCTGCTACTCTCTCATCTCTCACTTCCGCTTCACTCTCTCTCTGGCCCTCTGTCTGCCTTTCTGATTCTCTGCAATCTCTCTGCCTCTCGGCCTTGTTCTCTCAGCCTTTCGCTCTGATTCCCTCTCTACCTCTGTCTCTCTGTGCATCTCTCTGCCTCTGTGCTCCCCCTCTGCTTTTCTGACTCTCTCTTACTATTAGCCAATCTCACTCTGTGGCTGTCTCCTTCTCTCTCTCTCAATATCTCTGCCTCTCTGTGTCTCTCTTTCACTCTCAGGCTCTCTGTGTCTCTCACAGCTTCTCTCTACCTGCCTCTACGCCTTTCTGCATCTCTCTTCTACTCTTCTGCACTCTGACTCTCTGTCTACCTCTCTGCCCTTTCTCTGCATCTCTGGCTTTCTCTCAACAACTCTCCCTGCGTCTCTTCCTCTCTCTCAGCCTCATTCTGTACCTGTCTCTCTACCTCTCTGCACCTCTGCCTCTCTCTTCCTCTCTCTTCCTCTCTCTGCCTCTCTCTCTCTCTCTCTCTCTCTCTTTCTCTCTCTGCCTCTCACCGCCTCTGTCTCTGCTTTACTTGTTGCCTCTCTGTCTGTCTCCCTCTGCCTCCCACAGCCTCTCTCTACCTCTTCTGTCTCTGCTTTACTCTTTGCCTCTCTGTCTGTCTCCCTCTGCCTCCCACAGCCTCTCTCTACCTCTCTCTTTACATCTCTCTGACTCTCTCTATGACTCTGGCTCTGATTCTCCTTGCCTGCCTCTCAGGCTCTCTGGGCCTCTTCCTCTATGCCTCTCACTGCCACCATCTGCCTCCGTCTACCTGTCTCTCTGCCTCTCTGACTCTCTGTTCCTCTCTCTGCCTCTCTCTTCCTCTTGGCCAATCTCTCTGCCTCTGCCTCTGCCTCTGCCTCTCTCTAACTCTCTGCCTCTCACGGCCTCTATCTCTGCCTCTCAGGTCCTGTCTCTCTGCTGTGGTCTCTGCCTCTCTCTCCCTACCTCTCTATCTGTCTGCCTCTCTCCCCCCTCTCTCTATGTCTGCGTCTCTATCCCTCTGTTCCTCTATCCACCACTCTCTCTACCTGTCTTCCACTCTCTCTCGCGCCCTCTCTCTGCCTCTCTGACTGTGTACACTGTGCCTCTCTCTCAGCCTTTCGCTGTTTCTCTCTCTACCTCTCTCTCTCTCTCTGTGCATCTCTCTGCCTCTGTGCCCCCCTCTCTTCTCTGCCTCTGACTATTACCCTCTCTCTCTCTCTCTCTATCTCTATCTCTATCTCTCTCTCTGCCTCTCTCTACCTCTCTGTCTGCCTCTCTGTCTGCCTCTCTGCCCCTCTCTGTGTGTCTCTTCCCCTCTGCCACTCAGCCTCTCTTCATCTCTCTCTGCCTCTCAGTCTGTTTTTCTTCCTCTCTCTATGCATCTGTGTCTGGCACTCACATTGCCTCTCTCTGCCTCTCTCTACCTCTTTCTGCCTGCCTCTCTAACTTTCTGCATCTGTCAGACATCTCTCTGCCTCTCTTCCCTATCTGCCTCTCCCTCAGCCTCTCTCCCTAAATCTGGCCTTCTCTCTGCCTCTGTGCCCCTCTCTCTGCCTCTCAGGGCCTGTGTTTCTACTCTCCTCTCTGCCTCTCAGTCTCTCTCTGCCTCTCCGTCAGCCTCTCCCTGTGCTTCTCTTTCTCTCTCTGACTGCCTCTGCCTTTCTCTGCATATCTGTCCACATGCCCCTCTCTCTGCCTCTCTGACCCCCTATCTTCTCTCTCTGTGCCTGTCTGCCCTGCTCTGCCTAAATCTGGCCATATCTCAGCCTCTGTGCCCCTCTCTCTGCCTCTCATGGACTGTCTTTCTACTTTCCTCCCTGCTTCTTAGTCTCTCTCTGCCTCTCATGGCCTCTCTTTCTGTCTTTCTGCCTTGTTCTTTACCTCTCTCTGCCTCCCTCTCTGACTCTCACTCTGATTCTCTCTGCCTCCCTCTAAGCATCTCTGTGCCTAGGACTCTCTGCCTCTCTCTGACACCCTATGCCTCCCTCTGCATCTCTCTCTGCCTCTCTGACCCTCTCTCTGACTCTGCCTCTCTCTGTCTCTGTCTATATGCCTTTCTCTGCCTCTCTCTTTGCCTGTCTCTACTTCCATCTCTACCTGTCTCTCTGCCTCTCTGCCCATCTACCTCTCTCTTCATCTCTCTTCCTTCTCTCTGCCTCTGTCTCAGCCTCCATTTCTACCTGTCTCTCTGCCCCTCTGCACCCTCTCTCTGCCTGGCTCTCTCAGCCTCTCGCTCCGCTTCTCTCTCTACCTCTATCTCTGTGCATCTTCCTGCATCTGTACCCACCTCTCTGCCTCTCTGCTTCTGACTATTAACATCTCTCTCTGCATGTCTCCCTCCCTCTCTCAATATCTCTTCCTCTCTGATTCTCTCTTCCTCTCTCTGACACTCTGCCTCTCTCAGACTCTCTCTGTGCCTCACAGGTCCTCTCTCTGCCTCTCTGCCTCTTCTTCTCTTCTCTCTGTGTCTCTGCCTCTCTGCCACTCAGCCTCTCTGGCTCTCTGCCCCACTCTCTGCCTCTCCATTTCTCTGCCTCTCTTTCTCCGCATCTCTGTCTGGCACTCACATTGTCTCTCTCTACTTCTCTGCCTGCCTCTCTTTCTGCGTCTCTCTATCTCTCTGCCTCTCTTCCCCTCTCTCTGCCTATCTGCCTCTCCCTCAGCCTCTCTGAGTCTCTCTGTGCTTCTCTTTCTCTCTCTGACTGCCTCTGCCTTTCTCTGTGTATCTGTCCACATGCCCCTCTCTCTGCCTCCCTGACCGTCTCACTGTCCCTCTGCCCCTCTCTCTTCTCTCTCTGTGCCTCTCTGCCCTGATCTGCCTAAACCTGGCGCTCTTTCTGCCTCTGTGCCCCTCTCTCTGACTCTCTCTCTGCCTCTCAGGGCCTGTCTTTCTACTTTCCCTCTGACTCTCAGTCTTTCTCTGCCTCCTTCTCTGACTGTCACTCTGCCTCTCTCTGCCTCCCTCTAAGCATCTCTGCACCTCTGACTCTAGGCCTCTCTCTGACACCCTATGCCTCTCTCTTCCTCTCTGCCTCTCAGGGCCTCTCCTCCTCCTCTCTCTCACTGCCTTTCTCTGCCTCTCTATTCCTCTCCCTGCCTCTCTCTGCCTCTCTCTACCTCTCTTTTTGCTTCTCTCTGCCCGTCTCTATGCCTCTCTGCCTCTCTGCCTCTGTGTCTGCCTATCTGTGCATCTGCCTCTCTGCCCCATCTCTGCCTCTCATGGCCACTCTCTCTGTTTGCCTCTCTGCTTCTCTCTGGCTGTCTCCCTCTCTCTGCCTTTCTCTCTGCCTCTCTGCCTCTCTGCCCCTCTGTCTTCCTCTCTGCCCCTCTCTGCCTCTCTGCCCCTCCTCTCTCTCCCCTCTCTGTCTCTCATAGCCTGTCTGTCCCTCTCTCTGCCTCTCTGCCTGTCTCTGCCTCTCTGCCCCCCCTCCCCTTTCTGCCTCTCTCTTGGCCTGTCTGCCCCTCTCTGCCTCTGTCTCTGCCTCTGTCTCTGCCTGTCTCTCTCCCTCTTTGACTCTCTGCCTCTGCCTCTGTCATACTGAGATTGAAGGCATGTGCCACCAAGCCTGGCCAGGGCAACATTTATTAATGGCATCTAATGAATTACTATGATTAAGAAATTCTGGTGAGGAATAAGCATGTTGGATTACAATTTTTTTTTAGCAATGGACCTCACAGATGCTAAGAAAACATTCTGGTACTGAAGTGCATCCCCAGCCCTGTACATTTTTTTTAATTCAGGGCACAAGCACTTGTTAGCCCAACAATCCCAATAATGTTGAAGTGATTCAGGAACTACTACTATGAAACCTGAGTCAAACATAGATCATCTTTCCAGAAAACATCTACATAGCTCTAAATTTCTCCATACAATTTCAATGACTTTATGGTCTCCAGCACCTATTCTTGAAAACCCAGTTTAATAGTTCAAATGGATGAAGTAACTGATTATGCCCAATTAAAACTGAACTTACCTAATCCCCACTGGACGAAGCGCTCCACCGGGGGTTTAGTTTGGGAATACTTTTCCTAAGAAGATAAAAAGAAATAGAAGGAGTAGGGTTTGTTGATTGGTAAGGAGCAGAATAAATATACTTGTGTTTAATGAATAAATTACCATTATTAACACTGTTCAGTGTTAGGGATGAATCTTGGGCCTCTAGCAGGTTAAGCATATACATTACCATCCCGTTAGTAACCGTTTTTTAAACAAAGGGATGGATCTACTTTCAGTTTTACTGCTTTTTTTTCTTTTGTAATCTCCCTTTCACTAGTAATCTGTTCTTCAGAATGCTTTACTATTGCCACAGGAAGCAAAGATTTGAATAGAATGGTTTTGACAACCTACTCTTTTCACTCCTAAGACTAAAGGAAATAATAAGGCAGAAATTTGAAATGTTAGAGAGAGCTCAGTGGTTAAGCGCGCACACCATTTTTTCTTTTTTCTTTTCTTTTCTTTTTTTTGTTTTTGCAGAGGACAAGAGTTCAATTCCCAACACGCATGTCAAGTGGCTTACAACTATGTGTAACTCAAGCTCCATGAGGATACAATACCTATGTTCCTCACAGGCACCTGAGGTCAAATCAGGTGAGTGCACACACACTCATACATACTAAAAAATTACCAAAAAAATCATAAAAAGGGACAAAATTGACATTCTTAATAATGAGAGGTGATCCTTTCCCCATGAGATGATTAACACTGTCTTTCAAATTATATCTATATTATGATTTGCCATGATTTTGGAGACCACATTTGGAAAATGCTCCTTTAAAGTAGGAATGGGCAAGCTTTACTGAGGCGGATAAGTTGATCACTCAATTTTAAAAAGACATCCCAATCCTAAAGTAAATGAAATTATCAACATCCTCTTAGCAATACAATGGCTTTGAGGAGCTAGAGATGTACCACAGTGTCAAAGTGCTTACCTGGTGTGAGTAAGGAACTGAACTTCATGCTAGCTCTGTCCAGCAAACAGATGTCCCCAACCCCAAATGAAATAAAAGTACAAACATCAAATGAATTGTATATGCGACTGGAGCAATGGGTCAGCAAGCAGTTACATTCTTGCAGAAGACCTGGGTTTGATTGCCAGCACCTGCATGGTGGCTCACATGGTGTCATCTGTAACTGCAGTTCCAGGGAATCTGACACTCTCACCCACATGGAGCACAAACATACATGCGAGCAAAACACCCATACATATGACATAAATAAATGAATAAAAGTCTAAGGGTGGCTTGTACATGAATATCAAATGGCCCTAAAGGAAATGAGGACTTAGCTAAAACTAGTCTTCAAGAACTCTACAGTGAAGAGGGAAAGTAATACAGGAATAATAAAAGATATCAGAACTAGCTGCCACTGAGAAAAGGATTCTTTTATAAATTTCGGTCCAAATCAGAACAAGTCAGCCACATACTTTTAAATGGGCTTGCAAAACAAATGCTAAATGTGGAGGAGGATATATACAACTGCTATCACTTCATTAAAAATCAACTACTAGCCAGGCGCACACCTTTATTTCCAGCACTCGGGAGGCAGAAGCAGGTGCATCTCTGTGAGTTCGAGGCCAGCCTGGTCTACAGAGAGAGTTCCTGGACAACTGGGCCTACAGAGAGAAACCCTGTCTCGAAAAACCATAAAAAATATATGCTTGCGGTACAGTCGTGAAGGAGGTCAGATCCCAGCACCCATATAACAAACCAGCTGTCCCAAAAAACACCTATAACTAGAGCTCTGAGCAATCTGATGCTCTCTTCTGGACTCCCTGTGTGCATACATGCTCACAGGTGCATATATAGGCACACATAAACACATACAAATAATAAAATCAATCTTATTAAAGAGAAAAACTATATATCAAAGTCTGGAGGGACAGTCTATTCCTTTTGCTGGCTTAATCATTTTGCCATTTTAAAGTTTCAATTACTTCTTCAAGAAAGAACAAGAAATTTCCTGGTCTGAAGAAAAAAGGCCAGGAGTTAGAAATATTTCTCTTCATGAAAAATTCAATGTGTCTAATAAAGCCATTCTAATTACAAGAAAATTTTCCCGCCAGACAGTGGTGGCTCACAAATTTAATCCCAGCACTCGGGAGGCAGAGGCAGGCGGATCTCTGTGAGTTCGAGACCAGCCTGGTCTACAAGAGCTAGTTCCAGGACAGCCTCCAAAGCCACAGAGAAACCCTGTCTTAAAAAAAACAAAAAAAAAGAAAAGAAAATTTTCCCGTTTATCAGTACTAAAATAAGCATCGTGATAACCAGCATATGATGTAGATAGATATTTTGTTATATGAATATCACAGAAAAAAAGTATTTAAAAGGTAAACAAAGTACTTTTCCTCAGACAGCTGTGACCCCAGTGCTAAAGCTGCTGAAAGAGGACAGTTGATGCAAGGTTGAAGCTTGCCTAGGCTAGAAAAAGTCTTAGATGAAAATTGAATTTTTGTTTTAGGTTTACAGAGAAATCAGGCACTAGGGAAATGTCTGGAGAGCTACAAAGATGACACCAGCTAACAATCTAAGCAACAGAGGAGAGGCTACCTTAAATGCCCTCCCCTGATAATGAGATTGATGACTAACTTATATGCCATCCTATAGCCCTCATCCAGCAGCTGGTGGAAGTAGAAGCAGACACCCACGACTAATCACCTAACTGAACTGAAATCCAGATGCAGAGAAGGAGGAGTGAAGAGCAAAGGGGTCCAGACCAGGCTGGTGCAACCTACAGAAACAGCTGACCTGAACATCCGGGAACTCTTGCTCCCCATACTGATAGCTGGGATACCAGCATGGAACTGATCCAGACCCCAAGATCATGGGTTTCAGTGAGGAAACCTTGGAAATCTAGAGGACCTCCTATAGTAGTTCAGTACTTATCCCTAGTATAGGTGTGGACTTTGGGAGCCCATTCCACATAGAGGAATACTCCCTGAGCCAAGACACACAGGGGTGGGCCTAGGCCCTATCCCAAAGGATGTGATAGACTCTGATGACACCCTATGGAAGGCCTTATCATCCAGGGGAAGCAGAAAGGATATGTGATAGGTAGGGTTTTAGGTGGGGGGGATAGGGGAGGACGGGAAGGAGAAGGGAACTGGGATTGTCATGTAAAACAATCCTGTTTCTAATTCAAAAAAAAAAAGAAAACTGAATTTTCAGATCTCAATTAAAATGAATCTAGATCATCTTGTATACATCTACATATTTTCCTTCCTTTTCAAAATCAAGATCAAGAACAGCAAGTATGTACCAAAGCCTACAAAAGCATTCTAGCCGGGCGGTGGTGGTGCACACCTTTAATCCCAGCACTCAGGAGGCAGAGGCAGGCGGATCTCTGTGGGTTCGAGACCAGCCTGGTCTACAAGAGCTAGTTCCAGGACAGCCTCCAAAGGCACAGAGAAACCCTGTCTCGGGGAAAAAAAAAAAAAGCATTCTATAGATTGCAAACTTTGGTTTCAGATGTTTTAAAATCAGAATACATTCACTTCCATAACAACAAATGCCTGGAACCTAAAACATGAACAAGGACAGAAGTCAATCTATAGTTTGGTCACTGGAGTGAACAGTTCAGTACTCAAACATGTAATTCAGCCTTCTATTACAGCACTCAAATACTCTACAGGCATGCTTGTAGGGGTTTTGTTTGTTTGTTTGGCTAGTTGGTTTTCCTTGCTTGTCTGTTTTTGAGACAGGATCTCTCTGTGTAGCCCTGGCTGTCCTAGAACTATGTAGACCAGACTGGCCTCACACCTCACAGAGATCTGCCTGCCTCTGCCTCCAGAGTACTGGGATTAAAGGTATGTGTGCCACCACACCTGGGTAGTCATGCCTGTGTGAGTATCCCTTATCTGAAATATATAGGAACAGATGTTTGTTAGGTTTCAGAGTTTTTGGCCTTTTGAGTTTTTTTGATTTAAAGATTGCACGTCCCTAGTATGAAAATCCAGGCCCAATATAATTAGCGATGCTCAGACTGTAGTGATTTGTAGTTTCTAGAGTGAGACAGATGTGTGTACATGATAAGCAGGTACAGGTAAGTGGAGTGTACACAGGTTTGTGTTGCCCGTGTGAATGCAAGTGTGAGTACAGGTATTCACACATGTGTGTGCAAAGGTTGTGAGGAAGCCAAAAGTCACCCTTGGGTGTCATTCCTCAGGAGCCATCTACCTTGTTTATTAAGATGGAATCTCTCACTACGACCTGGGTCTTGCTGATTAGGTTAGGTTAGCTGGCCAATGAGCTCCAAGGATCTACCAAACTCTGTTACCCCAGCACTGGGACTGCAAGTATATGCCACCATGCCTACCTTTTAGTGGGTACTGGGGACTGAACTCAGGTCCTCACTTAATAACTGAGTCATCTCTCCAGCCCAACATCACAATTTTGATTTACAGGTTTATGTTATTCATTTCCTTTGTTTACTGTCCCATGTTTTCCCTGATACACATAACAGCTTTATACTAACAAACTAACAAGGTAATTATGTGCCTTCTGCTCTCCAGTCAAGGTGCCACAACCCTTCTGGTGAGAGGGAAATTCCGCTTGCTACCACCAAGTTGCCAGATTTCACTGTATTTGCTCTCTGGTTAGCAATGAAGAACACTTCTAAGTTAGACACACTTAACTTACCACTCTTTATTACACCTTTTTTCTAAAAACAGCAGTCAGGGCTGGGCATGATGGTTTACATCTGTAATTCCAGCACCTATGCTAGCCAGTGAGGCAGAAGGATCACCAGTAGTAAATTCCAGACCAACCCTATAAAGTGAGATCCTAAGAAACTAATATACGTAAATTAAATAAATAAATAAAAGTAATTAATAAAAAATGAAACTAAATATTAAAACATACAACCAATATAGACTTTTCACTATTAAGTCTTAAGTAGATGTACCTGACACCAACTTGTATATGGCTCACACTTATGTCGGAGTTGGGAGATGTTTTCTTCAAGTTGAGTCCTTGGCTCCTCCACAAATTTAGACTGACCCTCAGGAACTGAATAGAGTGAAAGCTACACATGTTAAAACAAAAAGAAAAGCATATACTATGAGATCATGTAACATATGATCAATTTTGTAGGTTAGTATTGCTAATAATTTGTAAATAACAATTACCTTAAGGGTTATATGCAAATGCTAACTTTATTTCAGATGCTTTTTATGCCTTGCTTCCTCACTAAGGACAAGGACAAGGACAAGAGAGCAGGACTACAAAGTGCCCTGTCTTCTCCCATCTACTCTATTGCTTTGGTTTGGCAGTGTGGGGTCACTACTGAACGTAAGACCTCAACCATGCAAGGTAAGCACCTCTAGCCCCCTTTACCCACTTTACAGATTGGTAACTGGTATTTAACCTCAACCTGAAAGTTGAAAAAATTCTACTCTTCTAAAGGGTGAATGGAGGTGGTTTAATTGTGGGGAGGGCACAATTTATGGCACATGTGTGGCATTCTGAAGACAACTTTCTGAGAGTCAGTTTTCTCCTATCATGTGGGTCTCAGGGACCGAACTAAGTCATTAGGCTTGTCAGCAAGTGCTTTTATCACTGAGCAATATTAGCAGCCCTTGAATTTTGCTTTGTTTTTTAAGAAAAGAGCTGAGCAGAATTGAAAAATAACTGGTTCACTAGATCAAATATCAGAATGCTACTGATCAAAGCAGGTGAGGAAATCCATCACCCACCTAGGCAAGAGCCTTTTCAGTAGCCACTACTTGCCACCTCTTTCCCTGACAATGCTACTGTTCTAAAGAGAAACTACCTAGCTTTATGTAAACAAGAGTCAAGTAACCTTGCCTGGCTGCTAGGGACATCTGCACATTATTTTATTTCAAGGCAATTGAATAAAATAAAATAAATCCAAAGAAGTACTGGGAAGTTCAGACAAAAAAGAATATAAATGATGGAAGGAGAATATTTTATTTAATTGGTCTATTATATACTAATATTTATTTAAGCATCTCTAATCTTGCCAGGAACCAAAAAAAAAAAAAATCCAGGCCTTTAAATTCTTTGGAAGAAAAATGTGAATAGTTTTTTGTTTTGTTTTGTTTTGTTTTTTGCTTGATAAACAGTCCAGAATCAGGCAGGCTACTCTGAAAATTGATTTGTACAAAGCCCCTCAACTGGACAATATAGAGAAAAGTGAGAAATTTTGGAACACTCAGTCCTAAGTCTTCACCAAATCCCTCCCCTTCCGGGCTCTGGAAAGTATACAGGGGATGAAGGACTTCAAGAAAACAGTGTCTTGTAGACACAACAGGACTGAAACATATAGGAACTCAGCATGCACAGGGCCTGCACAGGTTCAAGCTAGACAGGGTCCCAGTGGACACAGGCTCCCATCTGTAACCAAGAAGGTATCTCCAACTGACTACTACTTGCAAAGGAAAAACTAGTTCTCTCCAATGGAGTTTCACTGGGGATATTAAACACACTTAAGAGCAGATCCTGGGGATGGAGAGATGGCTCAGTGGTTAAGAGCACTGGCAGTTCTTCCAAAAGACCCGGGTTCAATTCCCAGCACCCACATGGCAACTCACAGCTGTCTGTAATTCCAATGGTTAAGAGCACTGGCAGTTCTTCCAAAAGACCCAGGTTCAATTCCCAGCACCCACATGGCAACTCACAGCTGTCTGTAATTCCAGTTCCAGGGAATCTGACATCGTCACACCAATGCATACTAAATAAAGTTAAATGAATTATCTTGAAAAAAGAGAGGGGGTCCCTTGCCTAGCAGTAGATGACCAACACAAAATAAATTCAATGGTACTTTTTTTGGAGACTTGTCCCATATTGCTTCATTTGGGCTTTTTTTTTTCTTACTGGCCTTTTATTTGTATAGTTTCTAATTTTGTTTTTATGGAGTGAGAACATGTTTTTTTGTGATTTTTCTTTTTTAAATTATGGTTTTGGTTTTGGTTTGTTTGCCTACTTGTTTTCTAAAGAAAAAGATAAGTGAAGAGTTGGGTGGATAGGAAGGTGGAGAGGATCTGGGAGGAGTTAGGGCAGGAAAAACAGTGATCAAAATATATTGTATGAAAAAAAGTTTTTCAGTTAAAAAATAAGTACTTACTAAGAAAAAGGAAGTTATGCTTACAATCAACTAAAAATTAAATCTATGGGCTATTCCTTAATTATGTCCCTAGCTATATTCCTCTATAGTCTGTGGAAAAATCAGAGTTCAGAAATTTCCCACAGAGAAAACAAACTATCAGGAAATGTATATGTCTGCCTTTCAAATATTTTCTAAGTATGCTAAGGATATATGTTACTATCTAGTACCTCAAAAAGTAAAACTAAAACTACAAATCTTTTATCATCTTGATACATAATTTATAAAACTTCTCCTAACTAAATCAGATATTCACTATGTACCATACAGTATCAGCACGTTACCTCATCAACCTTTATGTAATTTTTGTGAGGTGAGTCCTTTTTGGGTGCTGCATAGACCCTGAAGGTGAGCAGGCTCAGGCTGGCTGGCCCCAAACATCTCTGAATTACCTGAAATGCAAAGGCAATCTTAAATCTTTTCTCCATGCTACAAATCAAGTACAACAGATGGAAGTGGGCCCATAACCTCAGCTATTCCCACCCAGAAACGTTTACTGTCCTTTCTGAAAAGTAAATGTATTTCTAAAATTCTGAGGATGTCAAAACATCAGCATGTGTTCTGGAAGAGTTCAAATTTCAAGACTTTATCTTAATTTCCCAAAAATAAAAGTTCCAAAGCCTCCAACTGAAAAATTAAGGCCAGGAAAACAGACATCCCGCAACCATCAATCATGGACCAGGTAATGCAGTTTGTTGAGCCAAGTCGGCAATTCGTCAAGGACTCAATTCGGCTGGTTAAAAGATACACCAAACCCTATAGAAAAGAATTCTGGAAGATTGCCATGGCCACAGCCATAGGATTTGCTATCATGGGATTCATTGGTTTCTTTGTGAAACTGATCCATATCCCTATTAATAACATTATTGTGGGTGGCTGAGTGTTTTCTCTTCATGGGAACTAGTGAACAAATAAGGGTGTGAGAAGCTCATGAAGTAATAAGTTGCCTGTATACTTTGTGGTTTATTTTTCCTTTCCTCCTCCCTAAGAGGTTTTCTATTTCTAAATTAAAATAATTTCAAAATAAACATTTTTCCATGACAAAAAAAAGAGAGAAATTAAGGCCGGACAGTGGTGGCTCACAAATTTAATTCCAGCACTTGGGAGGCAGAGGCAGGTGAATCTCTGTAAGTTTGAGACCAGCCTGGTCTACAAGAGCTAGTTTCAAGACAGCCTCCAATGTCTCGAACAAAAACCAAAAAGACTTAAGCATAGATTAATTCTTCAGCTCCAGCTGTAAGAGTAGATTCCTGGAAATTAGCCAAGATAATAAATCTGGCAGTGCCATAAACATTCAAATCATAATGGGTACACAGAAAGCTAAATTGCTTTTGCTGCTTTGCAAGTTGAGTACTGCCCAGAATTCTGCAGCTTGGGAAACACATTGCTATCCCAGTAAAATTGCTTTAAAAACAAATGGAAAACTCGAGTTAATTAAGATGCCTCCAAATCCCTAAATCCCTGACAACTTACCTTCAAGGCATTTTCTCAGTTGAGGTTCCCATCTCTCAAATGACTGTAGCTTGTGTCAAGTTGACATAAAACCAACCAGCACAGGTCTCCTACTCAACTGAGAAAATGTCTCCATAAATTCAGGATGCAGTTTAGCCTGTGGGGCACTTTTGTAATTAGTGATTATTGTGGGAGGGCCCAGCCCATGGTGCCACCCCTGGGCTCTCTAAGAAAGAAGGCTGAATAGGAAAGCAAGCCAGTAAACAGCACCTCTCCATGGCCACTGTATCAGCTCCTGCCTCCAGGTTCCTGTCCTGGCTTCTTTCAATTATGGACTACAGTGTGAAAGTGTAAGCCTAATAAACAAACCCTTTCCTCCCCAACTTGCTTTTGGTTATGGTGTTTTAACACAATGTTAACACTAAGACAAGGCCTTTTATTTATTCTCCCAGAAGTAAATACCTTTCATCTTACCAGGCTTTCCATTTAAATTATGTAGCTCTTTCCTTTTCAATAAAAGGCCTTTTTGTGTGCCTATAGACATGTGGGGTTTCAGAATCATCAGAGGACTGTTTTAAAAGCAAAGATTCTAGCACATTCCCCTAAAGAGTCTGACTCAGTAAATCTAAAGGAACCCAATAACGCATTTCCACCACAAGCCAAGTTTCAAAAATCACTATTCTACAAGATGCTTAGGGAACAGATACTCACCATAAACCAGTCTGGATAATCAAGTGCACTTATTTTTAAGAACATTTTAAAGACAATGAACTGAAATGAAAATTGTCCAAAACATTAAAAACAGTAGCATCAAGCTGGGCAGTGGTGGCACAGGCCTTTAATCCCAGCACTTGGGAGGCTGAGGCAGACAGATCTCTGTGAGTTTGAGGCCAGCAAAACCTTCATACACATAAAATAATATAAATAAATCTAAAAACATTCAAGAGCTCAAGGACAGCCAATGGCTATGCAACAAGTCTAAAACCAGCCTGGGCTATTTGAGACACTGTCTAAAAAAAAAAAAAAAAAAAAAAAAAAAAAAAAAAAAAAAAAAGAAGAAAAACAGAACTATTAATGAGAAGTTTTCAATTCTGTAGTTTTGTGCCAAAGTTGCTGCTATTTCCTAGTTCTTCTGTATCTACTATAAAGACTATAATCTTAAAAGAAAAGCAAAGAAAAAAATTTGAGGTTTGAAAAAAAGATTAACATCTTTTCCTTACAGAAAACCTTTTCATTTTCTTTGGGGGTGCATGACAAATATCACTACAAAATTAGACCAATAAAGCAAAGAATATACATTTCATCTGCAAGTGCTTCATTTTTATCCCTGTAGAAATAGCTATCTAACTTTTTTCAAATATACATAGAAAAAGTAACAAACTTATATAATAAACAGTTAAGAATCTCCTGGCCAAAGAGTATGCTTTAAAGAAAACTGCAAATTTTTTAAGTAAAAATTATGTCTAAGATTCAATTAGTTGATGGCAATCTGGATCTATGGTAAAAATCTTTGTTTAAAAAAGAATAAAGACAAAAATAAATAATATTTGGGTTATATGCAGCAACCTTAACAGAGCTCCTGAACAGATCCTAAAAACAAGCTCAGAGGCAGTATTTTCCAGGTGACATAAGTCACCAACGCACAGCACAGGAGAGCTGCGGGAGTCCTTGTCTCACTCTTTCCTTACTTACCAGTCTATGAGTTCGAGGCCAGCCTGGTCTATAAAGCAAGTTCCAGGACAGCCAGGACTGACTGTTACACATAGAAACCCATCTCAAAACCCCCAAAAAAGAAAACAAAAGAAAGAAACTGGTTCTGCTTAAGTTCCCTACATAAACTAGGGGAAAACTTAGCAAAAGTTATAAAATATATTCTTTAAGATAGATTTTTACTATTTCTGTAGATAAAGAGAATGTTAATGTCTCTCTTGTAACATGGAGTTGTTCAAGGTCATAACATTGCACTCAATTCTCCTTCACTGAAGATTTTTTGTTTTGTTTTGTTTTTTTTTGGGGGGGGGGTTGTTTTTATTTTTTGAGACAGAGTCTCTCTACATAGACAGCTCTGGCTGTCCTGGAACCTGCCAAGCTCACCTCTAACTCACAGAGATCTGCCTGCCTCTGCCTCTGCCTCTGCCTCTGCAGTGCTGGAATAAAAGGCATGTGCCACCATGCTAGCTCCTCCATTGCCTTTGTGTGAGGATTTTCTTCATTTAGAAAACCCTTTCAGGGTTGGAGAGATGGTTCAGCAGTTAGAGCACTTCCTGAGGTCCTGAGTTCAACTCCCAGCAGCCACATAGTGGCTCACAATAATTTCTAATGGGATCCGATGCCCTCTTCTGTCATGCAGGCACACATACAAATAGAGTACTCATATACATAAATAAATAAATCTTTAAAACAAGAAAGAAAACCCTTTCAGCCTTGGTCAGAGCAAACATGTTCTTTATAAAGTCTAATACCCCCTGTTGGTGTTCTATGTGTTATATGTTAGTTCTCAAAGTTGCTTGAATGCTCCAAACTGGATGCCTAGATTCCACCTTTAGAGACTCTGATGTCATTGGTCTAGAGTCCACACTGGCCATGGAAACGTCCATAAGCTTCACGGGTGACTCAAATATGCAGTCTAAGTTAAGACCCACCCTGTTATAATGTACTTATTTTATCTGTACCAATAACTACATATGAGATTGAAATCAAAGTCTCACAATTACCTTGAGGTACTGAAAACCTAGAGATCACAGGATACCACCTAACAAATAAATCTTGGGGGCTGGAGAGACAAATCCGCAGGAAATAGTGCTTCCTGCTCTTCGAGAGGACCCAAGCTCAGTTGCCAGGTGCCATGAAGCAGCTCACAACTACCTCTAACTCCAGCTCTAAGGGATCTTCAGGCCTCCAAGGGCACCAGCACACACAGGGCATTCACTCCCACAAACATACAAATGAAAAAATAATTATTTTTATAGTAAAACTGAACTATGTAAAGGGCTCTGGAAATTACATCTTAAGTAATGTTGATGCCTGGCTAGATTTGGGAACTCTCTTCCAGATGAGAACTGAGTTGCAGCCAGGCAGTGGTGGCTCACGCCTTTAATCCCAGCACTCAGGAGGCAGAAGCAGGCAGATCTCTGTGAGTTCAAGACCAGCCTGGTCTACAGAGAGAGTGCCAGGACAGCCTCCAAAGCTACAAAGAGACAGAGAAACCCTGTCTCAAAAAAGCAAAAAAGAACTGAGTTGCAAGTCAGTGGTAGGGCATACCTTTAATCCAAGCGCTCAGGAGGCAGAGGCAGGCAGATCTCTGTGAGTTCGAGACCAGCCTGGTCTACAGAGTAAGTTCTAGCAGGCTCCAAAACGATACAGAGAAACCCTGTCTCGGAAAAAAAAAAAGAGTACATTTTATTCTAAATATTCTTCCAGAGGGCAGGGTTCAAATCCCAGCACCCACATCAGGCAGCTCACAAATGCCTGGAACACCAGCTTCAGGGAGCCAACACTTCTCTGACTTCCTTGGGCACACACATTCACATAAATAAATAATAACATTTTTAAAAGAAAACAACGGCCACAGTTTAAACATTAAATATACCTATAACAAACACTGTACTTCCTTACCAACACCTATACTATCAAGCCTTGTACCTTCCAGTCCTAGTCTTCCCAAACTGGCAATTCCCAAAGCCAGACCAGCCCTATCATTTAATCTGTCCCCTCTAAGCAGAGACTTGTAATAGCAAAACTCTTCGGCAAAGCCTTGCAACCCCTTTTTGTTGTTGTTCCCTGGTCAGTGCCTCTTCCAAGTCCTACCCCATTCATGAAATCATCAACCTCAAAAACATAGGGAACATGCACGAAGGATCTTACTAAATAAAATAATCATTCAAAGTGTGATGACCATCAGCATCAATGACACTGAGATGCTCAAAAAATATGAAAATCTGAGGCCCCATCCCAATCTAGATTTTAATATGGGTCACATGCACATTACAATTTGAGGGACTGTGGCTCTCAATTGCTAATACCTGGTATCACAATAAAATTATTCATTCACTGACACATATGGTTTCGTATGTGTTTTATATGGTTTTTACACTTTGTATAATACCAGAGGAGAAAAGTAAACACCAACCCAGCTACAAACCCTGTGATTTACAATGGTGACCTGCCTGCAAGATATGCAGTTGCAATAGTGGCACAAAAGTTGTGGGTGTAAAAAAAAAGTTGTGGGTGTAACCAACCAACATCACAGATGATTCCTCCTACAACAGATGAGAACACACGAACGTGCGTTCAGCTTGATGGGCGAGAGGGTGGCCCCCTTTCCAGTCATACCCCATTTCCCAGGACAAATGGCTCTCCGCACCAGTCCCTGGTCCAGCTCCCAGCAGGGATGGGGAGCCGGCTATCTGGGACCAACCGAGGCTCCTTTGGCGCTGCCATATCATTCCAGCAGTCAGGATTCTGACTTAGAAGCGGTCAGTCATAATCCCACAGATGGTAGCTTTGCCCCATTGGCTCCTCAGCCAAGCACATACACCATAAAATGGGACAATATTCAGAGAGTGACAGACCTTGGAACACTCAGTCTTAAATGGGACATCTCCCTCAAATCCCTCCCCTCAGGGCTCAGGGAACCCTGTGGAAGAGGAGGAGGAAATATTGTTACAGCCAAAGAGGACAAAGGACACCAAGGAAACAAGGCTTTCTAAACACAGCATAACGGACACACATATGAACTCACAGAGACTGTAGCATCTTGCACAGGGCCTGCATGGGTCTGTACCAGATGGGGGCCCAGCACTGAGAGAAGTGGACCCAGGTTCCATTCCCAGAACCCAAAGGACATCTGACAACCATCTGTAACTCCAGTTCCAAGGGATTATATGCCCTCTTCTGGCCTCTGTGGACACCAGACATACATGCAGGCAAAACACTAATACACAGAAGAATTAAAACTAAAAAAAAATGTTCAGCCGGGCGTTGGTGGCGCATGCCTTTAATCCCAGCACTCGGGAGGCAGAGGTAGGCAGATCTCTGTAAGTTCGAGACCAGCCTGGTCTACAAGAGCTAGTTCCAGGACAGCCTTCAAAGCCACAGAGAAACCCTGTCCCGGAAAAAAAAGAAAATGTTTAACACATCTAAAGACACAAAGAACCCCCCTGCAATTTCCAAAACATACCCAAAGGGGTGGTATCAGTCAGTTGAGAACCACTGTTCTACAATCACATCCTTTTCCTTCTCTCTTTCTCCCCCCCCCCCGTTAAAAAAAAAAACTTGTCTGAGTCATCAATCTGTGCTAATCTTTCATTTCTATCAATAAACTTACATGTATGAAGATTGTGAAAGATTTTTCAAAGAGTCCAAGTCAATGAACATGTTCACAGACTTATATGAATATACCTGACATGAGCATTGCTGGTTGCAGATTCAGTTTCCATTATACCTCTTCCTTCCTAAAGAACCCCACTGTGCTCATGAAACCATTCCTTTTCCATATGGTAAGCAAAGTGAATCTGTTTGACTGAAGCTAATCAGAGCCCAATATTCCCCTGATAACTGCTATTGGGCTAGGAACAGACACCTGACCCACGTTGGTTCAATCAGACCTGAAGGAAAAACATAATCCAAGCATGGGAGTTTTATCCTCTCCTCTTCTCCTAGTGAATGGCAAAGTAATGTTACTGCCACTCATCTTGTAACTGTAAGGAAAACCAACAATACCATAGTAAACCCAGAAGAGCCAGGTCTTTGATGACAATGAGCCAACAAATCAATGAGTTCAGTGTCCATCCTTCCTCTGGGTTTAGTGAGATAATTCTCCTCAGTATTTTACAATTGAGATTTTTGTTACCCTAATTTCACCAATAGAAAAAAAGTCACAGAGCAGTTAAGTGACATGCCCATTATCACATAGCTAGAAACCGGCAGCAATGGAAGGCAGAAACCATGATCTGATTTGGCAGCCGTTATTAATGCACCCCAAACACTGCAGCTGCAGGAAACTCTTAAATGGGTAGCACAATTTTGAGATTTTATTAGCACTATTCTGTAAATATTATGTTTCTTGGAGAGTTGATTTTATAGATTTCTGGATGCGTGTGGGGTTTTGGGGGGTTTGTTTTGTTTTGTTTTGGAAAGGGTCTCTTTATGTAGGCCTGGAAATCGCTATGTAAACCAGGCTGGCCCGAACTCACCTGCCTCCACCTCCTAAGTGCTGGGGTTAAAGGCATGTGCAGCCTGTAATTTTTTGAATGACAAAATATAACTGACTTTTAAGAAAGAATAACTTTGGCCGGGCGTTGGTGGCGCATGCCTTTAATCCCAGCACTCGGGAGGCAGAGGTAGGCAGATCTCTGTAAGTTCGAGACCCGCCTGGTCTACAAGAGCTAGGTCCAGGACAGGCTTCAAAGCTACACAGAGAAACCCTGCCTCGAAAAACCAAAAAAAAATAAATAAATAAAATTAATATTTCGAAGTCTTCACTGTAAATGTCTATCTTACGGAGGACAGGAGTTCAAATGAAAAAACCCGTAAGGGAGGGGATAAGGATAAGAGTCGACTTTTCCACACTAACGCTCACCAGAGAGGAAGTTCCAGCTTTCCTCAAAGCAGCCTCTCCCTCACCAACCTCCCCGACATCCTCCGAAGCTGACCCTCCCCCCACCCACAAGTGCGGTTCGGAAACCTGATCCTGCCAAGCAACCAAAGCCACGAACGCTGCAGTGCCGGGACCTGGCCTCATCCTACCTACTACCCCAAAAGGGCATTAGCCGAGGAAATGGGTACTATAGCTGCGTCTTAAGTTTTCAAAGTGTTTCATTCCCCTGAGAACTACTCGAGGGCCGATCCCACCCATCTAGGGTTCCATGCCTCAGTCTCACAGGTGCTGGTACCAAGCAGTGAATGAATCGCTGTGACAGGACTTAGCCAGCCCGGAGGTGGGCAAAGCCTTGGGGACACCCGAGTCTGATCCTCAAAGAAGGCCCACGGGAGTGTGGGAAGGGACCCCGGCATCTGAGAGGGGGCGATGACAACTGTGACCCGGCTCCAAGCTCTCAATTTGAACATCATGTCGCTGGCAGCCGTGGCTCCGGCAGGGTCACCCCTCCCTTGGCCCCGCCCACTGAGAAAAGCGACTACGGTGGCCGGCTTAGATCCTAATTCCCTTGACCGCGAGCAGGTTGTGGTGCACGAGATGGTGATGCTCCCCCGCCCAACTCAACCCGCCAAAAGCTCAAGGCAACCGCTAGGTGGCGCATTGCGTTGCTTAGCAACGGAGAGGGGCCCGCGCGCGGGAGCCTGATGAACCCAAGCCCCGCCTTCTTGTTGGCCCTGTTTCCTCGCCGGCTGTTGCTAGGCGGCAAAAGGCGGCAGCTCCGTGTGGGCAGCAAGTTGTGGTAAGAAGGGGGAGGCTCCTTGGCACCCTGCTGCGCGGAGAACCGGCTTCGCCTCCACCACTGGGCGCCTAGCTGTGCGGATGGGAATCCTGTAAGCCGAGGTAGCCAGGCGGTGGCGCCCGACGGTCCTGGGGTGGCCGCACCAGCCTCTTAGGGAGAAGCCGCGATCGATCGTGGGGCTTCGGTTTACCTCACAAAAGGTTTTTTCCTTAAAGAATTTACCGTATGCTGAATGTTGCTTAAATTTTATGTAATAGTAAATGCACCGCGTCATTTAGTCGCGAAAACTGTCCTTTTTTTTAAGAAAAGTACTAAAGCGTAAATCTGAGAATCAAATATTTGTCCCATTTATTAATTGTAGAAGTAAAATGACAGTATTTAACTATTCGCCAGAAAAAAAGCAAGCTTTAACACTGGTTTAAATGCGTAATTTTATTGCTCCGACACAAGTGGATGGGCATGGTTCTCATTGCCTAGTGTCCAAAACTGCGGAAAATCTAAAGCTAGGATCCAATTCAAGGTAGTCTGCCTTTGAAATCTCTGCGCTAGCTTGGGCAAACGCTAGCGCGTCCCGTAGAGACGGTGTATTTCGTATTTCGTCCTGTATTTCTTGTCCTAATTCAACAGAAGATGGAAGCCACATAGGCATCCTGAAGATCTGGAGATTTGTTCGGTAAAAGGTCACTGTCCTCTTATCCTAGAAACACACCTGTCCTTAAATTAGGTGTGTGGGGTTTTTTTAGTTTGCTGCGAGAAAAAGCAACAAAAATGCCCATCTAGGGCAAACTGGAGCATTTCAGTAAAAAAATGTTAAGTTTGTCATAGTATTTAACCTTTGGCTTAGTGACTTGTGGTTAAGGTTTTTTCTTTTTAAGCAGAACTTGTAGGTGTTAGCAACCTTCAGGGAAGGGAAAACGGTAAGGTTCAGCCAGACCAACTCCCAAATGTTAAGGGCAGCTCTTTCCTTCTCAACAGAACTGTACGTTCCAAGCCATCCCCATCTCCAATCCCTAAGGAGAAATACTGAATAGATTCTGAAGGCACTGCATCAGTAAGGTAATATCTTAAAAGTGTGAAGCATAGTGATAAATTACAGCGGGAGCTCTTAACGCAGGGAGTATGTGAACTGGGGAAAGACGGAAATGACAACTTCACCCTCGCTAAACTCTAACTGAACTTTAGCATTTCTTTCAAGTACAGTGTAGGCAACAAACCTCCCAATATTAGCAGTGCCTGTGAGTGTCACCAATAGAAAGCAGAGATAATTTCATACCATTTACAGTCACGGCAGCTGGCTAAAAATATCACTTATGCGCATTACTACAAAAGTAAAACGGTTATTAGATTTTTGTTTTATGCATAAAGAAGACACGTATTACTGCAATTTCGTTTTAAAAGGTATTTTGAAGATATGACTAAGAATTTGGGAGCTTCATCCAAACTTGTACATAATGCTTCAAACAGTGAAAAAGTTACAAGCAGAATCAAGTAATGCCATACATGCCTGCTCACATCACCAAAGGGGTTAAAGTAATTTGCTCAAAGTCTCACAAGTAGTTAATAAAAACTGGACAAAAAACTCTACAGAAAATGTGTAACACAACCCCCCTCCTTTTCCACAGTCAGCAAAGTACCTCCTGCCATTAAATAATTTGTGGAGAAGGAATATCCCTGAATTACTTCAAGAGCCAGGTGTGGTAGTGAACGTCTGTAATCCCAGCACATGGGATGTTGGGACAGGAGGATCAGTTTAAGACTACCCCCTACTACTGATGAGATTGAGGCCAGCCTCAGCTACATGCGACCCTGTGTCACAAGAAGAAATGTTAACTTCAGCTGTAGGGTGAATAGGAGAAAAAAGATAGGAGAGAGGGAAGCCAGTTAGGAGGTTATGGATAGATTCACTGTCTTTCCGACAAACCACTTGGTATTTTTAGTATGGAAAGAATGTAAACTGTAAATGACACTAAAAGCACAATGCTTTCTTTTTAAGGGGGTTCTAAAATTAACACAACATATGACATTTGAGTCTAGTCCAAATATGATAATGTGGGGATTATGACCTTAAAAGCTTATTGTATGTGTGTTCAGATTACTTCTTTGTAGGGAAATGAAAAAGTCCTCAAATACAACAGGTACTGATGCTCCAAAATCAGATAGTCAGCTCCCAGAAAAAATCCACAAGACACAATCGGCACGTGCTGCAAAGATAAAGGCAAGAAAAGAGTAAGAAGCCATTTTTTTTTGCCTTTTTCCCACAACTAGACAAATTACAAACTTACCAAGGGTTTTTTTTGGGGGGGTGGGTTGGTTTTTATTTGTGTGTGTGTGTGTGTGTGTGTGTGTGTGTGTTTTCAAAACGGTGTTTCTCTGTGTAGCCCTGGCTGTCCTGGAACTCCGTCTGTAAACTAGACTGACCTTAATCTCAGAGAGCCACCTTATCTGAAGGCTAGGGCTAAAGGTGTACACCACCATGCCCAGCTAAGCTTACCCAAGTTTACTCAGATAATTTTAAACATTTCTTAATGTGCAAATTAAAATTTGGTGTTTTTAAAAATTACCTTCAAGTTGAATATTATAGCTTTAGAATTTTACAATTAACAAAGCATGTTCACACACCCATGTGATAATACTACAGCCTTTGGAAGCAATTTTGTTATTACATATTATAAGTGAGAAAAAGAGGACTGGAGAGATGTCTCTGTGATTAGGACCCCTCTTCCTAAGGACCCCAGTTCTGTTTCTGGCACCCATGTTAGGTGGCTCACAACCACTTGTAATAGCAGCTCCATGGGATCCAACACCTCTGGGCTCTGTGGGGACCTGCACTCAAATATACATATCCACATGCAGACACACGCATAGGATGTAATTAAAATATTTTAAGTGTTAAAAAGTGAGAAAAAGCCAGACAGTAGTGGCACACACCTTTAATCCCAACACTCAGAAGGCAGAGGCAGGCAGATCTCTTTGAGTTTAAGGCTTGCCTGGTCTTCAGAGTGAATTCCAGGACAACCAGAGCTACACACAGAGAAACCCTGTCTAGAAAACCAAAAAAAAAAGTGAGAAAGAAACACAACTGGGAAGAAAGCTAAACCAGTTAATGAATGACATCAGCTAGAATTCAAAAGGGTTATTTCTGTAATATGGGCCTTTTTATTTCCTTTTTTTAAAAAGAATGAGTGGCCTGGAACTCACGGAGATTTGCATGCCTCTATTCTCAGGTGCTGGGATTAAAGGTGTGCGCCACCATCTTCTAATATTTGGGGTGTGTGTGTGTGTGTGTGTGTGTGTGTGTGTGTGTGTGTGTGTGTGTGTGTGCTTGTGTGTGTGTGTGTGTGTGGTGTGTGTGTGTGTGTGTGTGTGTGTGTGTGTGTGTGTGTGTGTGTGTGTGTGTGTGTGTGCTTGTGACAACCTTGGGTGTCATCTTTAGGAATGCCATTCAACTCCTTTGAGACAAACTCTCTCATTGGCCTAGAGTTTGCCAATTAGGCTAGACTGAGCAGCTAGCTCTAGGGAATCCTCCTGATTCCACATCCCCAGCACTGGGATTACAAACACATGCCATCATGCCAGGCATTTTTATATGGGCTCTAAGGAGCAAACTCAGGCCCTCATGCTTGCATAGGAAGCTTGTACCAACTGAGTTATTTCCCCAGACCTTTTCTTCTCTCTCTCTTGTAGTCTACTTTATGCCAGCCGGTGGTGACATTGTACAGATAGATGTCCCTTCCCTGTCTTGGCATATAGCCCTATGAGATATACTGGCTGGATAAGAGAACGCAGAGACCTGTGAAATCAGTTGGTGCTGAGACATTATCTAAAGTAAATTATTTCTCTAGCCTCACTGGAATGAATCTAGCTTGAGCAAAGATCAGAAAAGGGAATTTCTTTTTCTAGGTCATAATCATAAGCCCCTAGAAAAGAAATGGGACCTTGTGTAAATGGTAAATTCTGCTATTTTAGATTGCATTTTCGTTGCACTTGAATCAGTTAGGCAGTGCTTTTAGTAAGTACTTGTAATCCCAGCACTAAGGAACCTGAGGTGGGAGTTGAGTCTGAGGCCAGGCTGGACTAAGTTCGAGGCCAGTATGCCATACATAGTGAGACCCTGTCTAAAAATTTTTAAAAAGCCTGACAATAAATTATTGTATGTGCCGTGGTGTATGTTCATGTTCATGTGGATGTGTGCAAATTTGTGCAGGTGTACACACACTTGAGTATGTGTATGTGAAGGCCAGAGACCTTCCTCAGTAGTTCTCTATCTGGGGGTGGGGTGTGCATGTGTACACATACGTGGGCTATACACATACAGATGGAAGTCAGAGGAAGACACTCTCCACTTTCTTTATTTTTTGAGACAGGGTCTCTCACTGAATCTGGAGTGTGCAATTTCAACTAGACTGGCCAAAAAGCAACTGGAATCCTCCTGTCTGCACCCACCCCACCCAGTGCTGTGATTATGGAAGGTGCACCACAGCACCCAACTTTTATATGGGTGCTCACGCTTGCCCAGCAGTCTTTACCAACTGAGCCATTTCCTAAGCCCCTTCACTTTATTTTTTGAGAGAGCCTCTCTCACTGGACTGAAATTCATTAACAAGGCTAGGCTGACTTGCCAAGGAGCCTCCACTTCCCCAGTGCTGGGATTACAAACACATTTGCATTTGCAAACACATCTACCATTTTATTTGGTTTCGGGCTATCGAACTCAGATTCTCATTCTTTACCCACAAAGCTATGTCACCGGCCCCATGAATGTTTTTAGAAGGCCAGTTTGCCTTCTCACATCTTCTATTTTTTCATATTCTCTCTTTCCCATCCCTTTCCCCTCCATCCTCCCTCTTCCTTCCCCTCCTCTCTTTCTTTCTCCACCCCAACCCCCAGCAATAATAGGAATTAAGTCCCTGGATCTCTGACTTAAGGATGTACTTAGTAGAGTTCTTACCTAGTGTGTACAAGTCCTTGGTTCAATTTCCATCACCACATAAAAACAGGCATGGTATAATCCCAGCACTAAGAAGTTAGAGGCTGGAGGATCACAAGTTTAAGGTCATTTCGTATCCAGCTCTTCAAAGCCAGTCCATGTTACAGGAGACACTGTCCCAAAGAAAGAGGGAGGGAGGGAGGGAAGG